GAGGTCGTGGTACCCCCAGAAACCAGCCCTGGGACTCATGCACACCTCCCGCGCAGGCGTCGGGCATTGAGGTGACAAAGGAGGAATGGAGGACTAACCTATGTCTAGGAGCCACCCTCAGCCGACACTAAAAGCCCAGTAGCTACGGCCGGCCGGAACCGCCTCCTCAGCCTCAGCCTCAGCCTCAGCCTCAGCCTCAGCAGGGCGGCCTTCTCGGAGGAAGGGCCTTACGGTGTGTTGGAGTGTGAGGTCATGTGGGCCAGGAGCAGACGCCCGAGGTAGGGATTCGAACTTTCGCCCAGCGCCCTCTCAGCCCGGCACAGGCTCGAGGCTTCATATGAGGAAGTCCAAGATAGCCCGACACCACAGGCCTTCCTTCTCCTAGGGCGAGAGAGGGGCCGATTCTCCAGGGAGGGCTTCCAGAAACTGAGGCCGGAGGGAGTCCTGGCCCTTTGCCTTATTGCTGCAGACAAGGAAGACTGACTGGTACAAGGAAACTGAGGAGACTGTCCCCAGCTCCTCATCCACGAGCTGCTCCTATACTTAATGCTGACTGAGGAGGAGGGGCAGCTGCGGGGGGGAGGGGAAGGGAAATAAATTTCTTTTCCTTCTGTACAGCCGCTGGTGTCTTCGCTCCTGCCCATCCTTGCAGGGAACGGCTTAGGCCGGCTCTGATCCTTTAATTCCCAGGACTAGATCGTTCCTCTGTGAATTTAATTTCAGCCCCACAACCCTCCCACGCCATTCGGCGGAGGCACCTCTGCGCCCTCTGATGGACGAGGCTGCTTTAGCAGATATGCACCGGTTGCCTTTGCCCAACAGTCAAGAAATAACTGAAGAAGATGCTCCAAATTATTTGGGCAGAGCTTGGCCACTGAATAAAGGTTATGGAAAGCAGGAGGCATAACCACAGATGCCTGGTGTGGCCTGTTCTGAGGGAATGGACTGTCAGGTAGTGGAGGCAGCCCGGCCTCCTCAGCTGCACACTCCATCCCTCCAGCATTGTGCAATGACTTTTCCTACCTGTAGCACCCCTGAAACTTCTCAGTGCGCCAGCCTGGCTCCTCTTCAAATACCCGTCATGCAGTGGCTCTACGAAATGCCTGCACAAACACTAGACTGCTCCTGACATCTCTGGAATCTACCTCTTGGCAGCTCAGTCAAGTGCAAAGACTTTCAAACTTTGGGACTGTCAAAGAGGTGGTGGGCTGGTTTGGTTTTCCTAGTCCATTAAATTCAAATTTTTCTAAATTTCAGAATATTATAAGCACTTTAAAAAATCGTGTAGGGGCATTCTGCCTGCATGTGTTGTCTGTGCATCACGTGTCCAGTGCCTGTAGACGCCAGAAGAGGGTGTTGAATCCCCTGGGGCTGTTGAGTCCCCTGGGGCTGGAGTCGTCATAGTCTGTTTTGAGCTGCCATTTGAGTGTTGAGAATCAAACCCCAGTGCTCTCTGGAAGAGCACCGAGTGCTTTTAGCCTCTGAGCCGTCTCTCCAGCCCCATAAAACTCCTCTTGCAAAAAGCCCTCATGTGTTTCTAGACCAGAGTTGTCAGTCCAAATGACTCCTCCCTGGAAAAGGGAGTACAAAGCCCTGGCTCTAGCCCAGTGACACTGACGCATATGATGACTCAGGTGTGCCCATCCGGGTCCAGAAGCTGCTTCCCAACAGCTTACCTCAGGGAAAGGAATGCCACAAGGATCTGGTGGGAGTGATTGTCTCCATGTGACACACATGCAGTCTTCACAGGCTTTTACCAAAAGGAATTTTCCTCACTGTCTCCTGTCCCAACTACCTCTGACCTTGAGGAAGTCACGATGTGAACGAGGAAGCTCTAATACACCCCACAAAGCTCTGGCTCACTTTTTAGGGCAGACAGCTTTCTGTCGTGTAAAACTCGATGTCAACACACACCAGTGCTAAGAACTGCTTACCTAAACATTTGATGAGTGCAAGCCTAGTTCACAACTTCATAGGTTTCTTTCAACCACACTACATCTCAGATCTTCCGAACAATTTATAATCTGGACTGGAGAGACAGACTGGGCAGAGGACAAAGGTTCAATTCCCAGCACCACATGGTTTACAACCATCCTGAACTCCAATACTAGGGGATCTGATGATCTAATCTGACCTCCAAGCACACATGTGGTACATATACATACATATAAGCAAAGCACTCATACATGTAAAAGAAATTAAATTTAAAAAAGGAATTCTAAGTCTGGAAAACATTTGAATAAAGGGCCTCCATTCTGCCCAGATCAGATAAAAAGCATACTTAAAGCCTTAATTAGTCCACTTGTTTTAGCAATGCTCAGTTACCAGGCATCCTGTTATCGTTCCTAGAATATCCTATCTGTTAGACCAGAGCAGTCTAGAAAAGATAACAGGCTGTCAGTCACTGTCCTGACAAGCCTCCATTTCCCAGTGTTGTTTTGTCTACTTCCCTGACCTTCAAACTATCTCAAGCCAAATGGAAACTCAGGCTTGATCTCATCTTTGCCCGCCATCTTGATCACAGGAGTCTAATAATGCCACACTCCTAGTAATATTATGCAGGTAGAGGACGTCCTCACCAAATGGTCCTAAACTATTCTGCCCCATCTAGTACCTACTAACCAAGGAAGGGGATAGATGATAATAGATCGATAGATAGATAGACAGATATAGACAGACAGATATAGATTCAGTATTAATGTTAGTTCTGGGTTGGTCAATGGTTGTACTGGAGATAATATTCCTGGTGATGTTTGTTCCTCCGGTTTGGCACTGGTAATTATAAATAACTGCTGTCCGATCATCAATGCACCTTAGCCTTAGAACCAAAGGTTAAACTCGTAAGAATCTCCCAAGGCTCCTACCTACACACACTACACTCTGAACAGGTGCTGCACTGACAGTCTCAGGATATTTACACTCTCCCTCAAGTGGCACCTTTTTTTAGCAGCTTACATCAGGAAAAAAGGTAACTCCATAAGCCCAGACTCAAATAACATAAACCATCCCAGTGGCTAAAAATGCTCTAGATCACTAGGAAAATATATAAACATCAGTTAGGCAAAAGGTATCAAAATAAGGGGGGAATCATTGATTTGACTTCACTTTGTGGTTTGTGGGAAATAATTTTTTTAATATGCAATTTTATTTTACTTTTGTTTTTTGAGACAAGGTTTCTCTTTGTAGCCCTAGCTGTCCTGGAACTCAAGAGAGCCATCTGCCTCTGCCTCCCAGGTGCTGAGACTAAAGCGTGTACCACTCCTGGCTTGCGATTTTATTTTCAACAGTACAGAAAATCAGGGACTTAGTTCTCATCTGGGTTTGCTGCCCATTTAAAGTGGAATGCCTGATAGATGTTAAGGAACCATTAAAGACAAGTAACCAAAGGAGCAAGTTCTTGCTATAAGACCAAGTGACCCTTGACTGCTATAGACTGTTCTCAGCCAAGTGTACTAGCCTCCCAGTGGAGTGGTGCCTGACCCACTGAAATACTAGGAAGAGGTCTGTGCGTGAGTCATTGCCTAATGGACTGGCACCTTCCAATTTCTTCTCTCATGGATCACTTTTCAAAAGCATTACTATTATGTTTCTATTGATTCCTCACTTTCTTTTTTAAACACAGCAAGATGGCATCAAGTCTGTCCTTTCAGTACCTAGGAAACTTATCCCAGTTACTAAGTAAAAAAGATGGAGTCAAAGTGCCTTACAAATTTATACTCCTAAAGTCAGAAGGAATATCACTGCAGTCATTTTCTAGTAAGAGATACAGTGTGGTTTCTAATAACCTCTGGAACTCTGACAAGAAATAACTATGGTCATTGTTAATATAGACCAAAAATACAGCATTTTTTGTTTGGTTTGGTCATTCTTTTCTTTCCAGTATAGAGGATTGAACCCAGGGCCTTGTGACTTCTAGATGAGCACTAGTACTAGGCCACATCCCAGCCTTGGTTAGCTCTCTTACAGCAATGCCAGATATATTCCCCACAATCACTGCAGCCACACTTTGGTACAAAAGCTCAACCAGCACACCCAAAAGGTCAGGAATCCCTTTAATTTTTTTTTTTAATTTAAATGGCAACACAACCATAAAAGTTGGTACATCACATAAACAAAAGTCTTTGCAGGCAACACTGATTGGAAATAGCAAAACACTTGGTTGGTGAAAAAATGAAACTCTAAATTGTATACAATAGTAGCTAAAGGTAATATTGAAAAACAGCCTTATTTACTGTGACTCAAGATTTACTTGCCATTATCTATTGCTTATTTATTCAAGGTTGTAAGTAATACTTATAGAGATGTGTAAAAATGAAACGTGAAAAAAATACAATTTTCAATTTCATATGAAACTCAAAGTATAAGTTTTGTCCAATATGGAATGTACCTACATTTGTTTATATTAGGGCTCTAAAATCCATTTAAAAATCGATGTTACCTTTTTTTAAAAAAGAACTGACCCACCATGCAAGACCTGCTTGCTCAAAATGAGCATATCAGGTGAGGTCTGCTTTTTTTTGCCCAGAGTCTACTATGATTCTTTAGAGGTTGCACTGGTCTCATCGTGGAAAATAGTTCCCATGAAGAGTCTGATGGCAGCATCTGGATGTGGGGTAGTCTGGGTAACGGAACTAGGGGAAAGAATGCACACGCCCAAATCCTTATGAAGGATGACACTCAGTTGTTAAATTTTAAGGGGTATCCGATGGCTTTTTCCAGGCACTCAACTAATGAGCCAGCGGAAAGAAAATCCCTCTCTACTTCTACAAATTTAATATAGATGGATTTAGGGGAAACTCCAGGATCCACAATACAGTTCTGAGACAAAAACCCATTAATGCCAACCCAATCTTTACTGAAGGTTTTGGTATTTGCTTGGAAATGTAAAAACAAACACTGCTGCAGAGTCCTGACCTCAGCAATACCAAGGTAGCAGTAGATGATCCGGGTGGGTTCTACTTCTACCTGTAATGAGGCTTGTGCTGAGAGGGTTTCCAGGCCAACCCTGCCCTCTTTTCCTGGGTCCAGGGCCTGGCGCTCCACATCTGGTGAAAGTGGCCTCTCAATGCATTCTTCATAGCCAATGGCATAAAGACCTGGACTTTTCGGAATCCCTCCTGGCAGTAAATACTGAACAACATTCCCACCGGTTGGCTTAGAGTGGGCAATGGGTATCCAGTCAATTTCCATGTGCAGCTCTAAGCACCTAGCTTCACTGATGGTGATCTCTAAAAATTTGTAGTAAACGTTCTTCCAGTTCATTTTTTGCACTCGGGTCATAATTATCCGTCCCTCGGGCTTCTCGGAGTTGAAGTACTCCCGAAGACGCTTGCCAAGGGGCACCTGTGAGCTGATCTCGGCATAGTGGTAACGGATGTCCTCTTTCCAGCGGGTGTTATAGCCAATTCCAAAAATGGCCAACTTATTGGAAAGATGGAGCCTTGAAAAGTCTGTCCAGCTCTGAAACAGTTCCCATTTCAACTGCACTGACTCCAAAATCTGTACAATATTCTGCATGGTGTCTCGTTTCCTAGAGAGAGAGAAATTAATAGTCAAATTCTTCAAGTGTCTAGAATAGCAACATCTAACAGAATTTTCTAAGGTGATGGAAATGTTCAATACCTAGACTGACCACTACGGGAACCAATAGAACTTAAAACACAGCCAACAAGAGTAAAACGTTACATTTAAACACCCACGCCTCTGAAAGTCACTAGAAGGTCACTGCATTGCATCAAATTTACTAAATAAAAATACTTAAGCTCCCAGGATTTCAGGAACCATGGACCATGAATTTTTGGAAAAATTATTACTGTGTATATGTATGTGCCATGTCACTTGTGTGGAGGTCAGAAGAAAACTATTTCTCTCCTACTTTCCCATACATTCTGGGGACTGAACCCAGGCTTTCAGACTTGAACATGCACTTGACTACTAAGTGTTGTCACTGACCCCCATCCAGGGACATGAAAGTTTTTTGTTTTGATTAGGTTTTTGTTTTTTGAGACCAGATTTTTCTGTGTAGCTCTGGGTATCTGGAAACTTACGCTGTAGACCAGGCTGGCCTCAAACTCAAGAGTTCCACTTGCCAATGCCACCTGAATGCTGGGATTAAGTGTTGGCATATGCCAACACTGCCCAGGAAAATCACAAATTATTACTTTTTTTTTTTAGTAGCTATGTAGGGAGACTCTGTCCCCCAAAAAAGGGCGGGGGTCTGGAGAGATGGCTCAGCAGTTAAGAGTCCATGGCTGTGCTTCTAGAGGACCTGGGTTTAATTCATGTGGCTGCTCAACACTGTCTGTAACTCCAGTTCTAGAGCATCCGAGACCCTCACATGGGCAAATTGTACACATAAAATAAAATCTTAAAAAAATTGCTTCTAAGTATAGCCAAACTTTGATATGGTAAGACTGGCTTATTAGATATTAAGTTGGCAATCAAATTATTACATTCTTTAAAATCAAAGTTTAACCTACAAAAGTGCTTATACCACACTCACAATAAAGAAAAGGTGATTTGCTAAGAGCATTTTTTTGGTTAATTACTAGTGGAGGGGGGCAGTGAGTATATGCAAATGGCGACCTAGGAGTTAGAGGCAGCTCTGAGACAAGTGCTGACACTGTGTTATCAACTGCTTCTTGGGACATAAGAGTGCCCTGAGTTTATACTTCACCCATGAATCTGACTTGCAGTCTTCTCAAGTGACCACAAAAGCACCTAAATGAAAGCACTGGATTCCCTTGGAACTATTTCTCTCTTCAGGGGACACAAAGGCTGTCACTCCATCACTCATACTATTTGATTGTGATGCTCATGCACAACTGTGTGTGTGTGTGTGTGTGTGTGTGTGCTCATGTACAGAAGCCAGAAGAGAGCATTTGGGAGGCAGCTGCCAACCCTAGAGATGGTCCTAGTCCAATCTCCTTCATTGCTAGCTTTCTTACAAGGGTGCTGGGATCTGAACTCCCATCCTCATGCTTTTACTGGGTGCTCTTAACCACAAAGCCATCTCTCCAGCCCTTAAAATGTTTTATTGATCTCAAGGAGGACTACACTTAGGAGATGGAGTAGAGAGCAAAGACTTTTGTTCATGTTGCTCACAGAAATATCTTAATGCTTTGCATACAGCAGATAAACCCTTAGAAAACAAAAGTTAATGAAATGATTAGGTGAATATTCTTTGTGAAGCATAGATCAGTTAGTTAACTCTGTGTGTGTGTGTGTGTGTGTGTGTGTGCGTGTGTGTGAGCGAGAGAGAGAGAGAGAGAGAGAGACAGAGAGAGAGAGAGAGAGAGAGAGAGAGCAAAACCCAACCCACTGCCCAGGTCAAAATATGTTTATTATATTCAGCACTTCACATTATGAGCACTGGTCAGACACTGCAAGGAAGTACTAAACCGAGAAGTAAATGGCCTACTAGAAGCTCTTTGAGAAGCTTTCACTCCTTAGTTGAGCTGGCACCCAGAGAAGAGCAGCAGAGGATGGAGCATACCAAAGAGTCTTACTGGCCTTAGCACAAGGGTATTTCAGAAGCTTGGAGCAGTCTGACACCATAGTTATTTGGGTAGTTCCTGAGAACTGCCCACTTCCTGGCTTCTGTCCAATGCCAAAAAAGTTTTGGGGTTTAAGGCTAGTGACAAGTGGCAGCTTGTCTCTTTCTGTCTCTCAAACATCAAGATCACCCATGTGGATAACACACAAGGCATGGATGCTATGAATTCAAGGTTACCAGGAAAATAAATGAGAAGTGCTCTTCATTTAGCCCCAAACTATTTTTTTCTTTTTTAATGGATTTGATAAGGAACTCACTGAAAGCCACTAGAAAGAACTGTAAATGTAACAGATGATATTAACTCTTAGGGAGGAGAACAACAGTTGGGCGAGTGAAAGACTCTGGCCTGGACCTTCTCAGTCCTCCCTCTATGAGCTGCTTTCTACACACACAAACAGGTCACCTAAGGGCTTTCTTTCTGATTCTCAAACTGCAATGCTATGAAGAATCTAAATATCCCTTTGGCCCTCTACCATTTCACCCAGCTCCATTTAAACTCAAGTCCTTGTGGCTTATCTTATCTCTTAGTAAGCACGTCCACACTGAATGTAGGAGATACCCTAACCACACCCACTTGGGGCTGGAGACAGGTGCCTCTGACCACGCCCACTTGGGTGTGGTCAGGGTGACATGAGGAAGGTTTAAGAGTGAGAGAGACACACACGTGGGGTCCTTTCTATTTACCTTGCTCCCTGCTGACTGGCTGGGCTGATCTGAGTGAGTAGCATTTTCTTAAATAAACTACCTTTATATCTAGACCTGACTCCGTATTGCCATTCCACTTTAGGGAAACACATATTTTCATGTAACACTTGGTTCTTCTTCCTGTATATAAAATTCAGCATTTCAGGTCCCCAGTGGTAGAGTAAAGGATGAACAGACATGCTTCCATGGTGGTAAGGCTGGAGTTGCTCTGTCATGCCTAGGTACCCGTGATCCCCCCGGGTCACTAAACTTAGACACACTTATGCAAAAAAGAAGCATCTACTTACTGTGCTTCCTCAGAAGATTCTTGTTTTATTTTTAATGTTCTCTTTGAAACTGGCATTTCATCTGAAAAACAAAGAATTTTGGAACAAATTATATTTTCATGAGTGGTGGCACACATTTATGTGGATAAGTAGCTCTATTTACTGCCCTGTACCTGACTTTAAAATATAACTTTATATAATGAGATGCGAACATTTATATGCAAGATCAGAAACCAGGCTCCCCAAGTATAAAATTCTTCAAGGTCACCAGTGGATTTCAAGCAAAGAGCTTAAAGCTTAATTTCACTGCAAACATGATTTTAAAAGAACAAGAATGAAAATGGTTCTCCTCTATTTAGGTTTTCTACGTAGGTTTTACAGGGTAAGTAATTATCCCCCAAATACGAGGATCAGCATATTCTGCATGTTATTTGTTTCCCAAGGTCTGGGTGATTTAACTCTCTATAGCAAGCAGGGTTAGGAGACACTGTAGTTTACACCTTATTATTCTCACAAGATTGAAAGGCAAGGTCATTTAGCATCTATTCTTATTCTTCCCATCTTCATTTTCTTACATACAGCTGATAATCTTAACAATTTGAGAGCCTCTATCTTTTTCCCTTCCAGTATTTGAGAGAAGTTATAACAGTATTCATAGAAAATATGTTAACAGTCCACCCTTTTTCTTTATTTCTCTGTCACCAGGCAAGATTTCTCTAATTTTTTCCTTGAGGAAGGGAAACAAATTTATACAGCCAATCCTGCCTGCACCTTCTCAGGTGTCACCTGAGCACCTCACGAGGGGGAAGGGCATTTATTCCTAATATACCCATTACATGACTTGCTACTGATGTACACAGTCTATAGCTTAAAAACCTGACCAGCACTTCCCAAGTAGGAAAGTCAAAACTGGAATACTTGACATACAGAGATGCAAGCAAACAAAAACTACATGTACCCTCTTAATTAGGCCACTCAAATGTAAATTTAAAATAGCTGGACCAAGAGTCAGTGCTCTTGGCAGGAATCTTAGTGCTACAAAGAGCAGGGTATTTTCAGTTGCATAAGATTCTGTCAGTGAATGTCCTTGTATGACTCAGATTAGGAATTTTTTTATCTTCAGGGAGCTTAGTGGTACCCAACTCAACAAGTACTACTTGGCTGTTTGATGCTAAACCAAGGATGCCCATGCTGATTCAAAAGAGTTTAGCAATATGCCTTGTGCTGAAAGCACTAGAAGCTATCACAGATGGTAAATACCAGTGCACATACCAAGAACACACACACACACACACACACACACACCAGAAAAAAAAAATTGCACATATTGGTTTTCTTACCCAATTCCTGATCTGTTGGATAGCCATGGAGATCCTGACTGTGGTTTCCCCAGTCCTCCTGTGAATAGTCCTCCATAGTGCTGCCATCTGACTCCAGCTCCTGGTACAAGCCACTACTGTTAATAAGTACAGGCTGGCAGGGCTGAGCATCCCATCCTCCCTGACCAAACACCTGTTCCAACTGTTCAAATGTGTAACTGCTCTTTCTTTTCCCAACACCATGTTCTTTCACCCGACTGTAACACCTGCGAAGGGTCTAAGACACAAAGTCTTTTGTTATTCCTTTAAAGCTGTACTTCCTCCTCCAGATACGGACCACAGATATTAATTACTATCAGACAGACACAGACAAACAAACACAGACACATCATTACAGGAATGCTAGATTTCAAATTCATTATTATATTAGAAAAATACTAATTTAGCATTTACTCAAACATGTTATAATTCAAACAATTATTTTGCAATTATCAATTAAAACAACAAGAAACATTACAACATTATTGCATGTACCCCAGACACATATTTTATGCCCCCTCCCCCATTTAAAAAAGGGTAAGGGGGAGGAAAAAAAGAAATACCAGCCAGCCAATAGGATGCACACCTGCCACAGGAGAGAGAGCTGCTATGGTGCCCAGAATTTGGAAAACGTGAGGGAAGGAGGACAGAAAGAAGAATTTCCCCAAGTGAAGAACAACTTCCTTACCCTTGGTTAAGGAGTACAGGGGAAAACAGTTACCTAGACAAAGTAGCTAACAAAGCGGAACCCTTATAGATCCTGTGTTCCTCACTAACTTACTCTATCATGGTAAAAACTTCTACAATTTAAACAGAAATCAAATCCTAAGTCCTTGTCCCCAGTATCAGACACAAGAAGTAGTACATTAATACCTACATTTTACTAGTCTGCCAACGGAAACTGCCAGCTAAACAAATCAACAAACAAGGCCAGCAAACCATCTTTCTTACCCTTTCTCTGTCACTAGACACACAGCAAATAAATACCATTACGTAAGCTCAAAGACAAAACTTGGGTAACATCATTGCCTTGTTCATGGTCTTTAATGCTATTACATATTTCAGACTAGCCCAATTTCCCAAACTTAATGTTACATACCTCATGCTATCTTACTTAATACCATCAAAAGATAAATCAAGGACTTTGTCTTAGCTTAAAAATCCAGTCACGTTCAGGCTCTACTTGTCTCTGCTTCCCTTTCTCCCTTCTACTTTATGAGGTTTCACTTGGAATTCTGAGAGACAAAACCCTCTTTCCCTGGTGGCTCCTAAATATTCTCTAACTTAACTGTTAAAACTAGTTTATCTCTAACTTAATGTATAAGCATTATCAAGACTATAAGATTCTCCTAACAGAGAGATTACCTTCCATAAAACAATACATGAGCTAGTCTCACCAAATGAAAACAAGCCCGGGTCTTTAGAGCATCTCCATGAGAGTGCAGTATCTTTACACTAAAGCTGACAGACAATCTACAAGACACTCTCACAAAGACTCTTTAAATCTGTCCCTTGAGGCCAGAAATCCAAATAGGCAAAAAGAATAATAAAAGCACGAGACATGATCATCTCCCTCAGACACAGTCACCCACCCTGAAGCCTTGGCCCCCAAGCAAGCATCTCCCTTCCATAGCATCTCTCCCACTACCTCAAATGACACCTTACAGAGAACCAAGGCTTCCCATAAACTCTTTAAAAATCATCTCAGCTTTCTTTTTGCAACAGAGAATCATGACCCCATAGGACAAAACTTTCTAGAAAAATCTAGAAACATAAACTTGGAAAATGTGTGTCATAGTCAAATCTCCCAAAGGAAAGAGACAAGAGCTGCAAATCTCACTTGACTTTGCACACACTCCCCTTTCCCAGCACCCTCTGCCCTCCTCAGAGATCGGAATTTGAATTGCAAACAGCCCCTGACAATTTATTTTTATCTTACAATGTCTAGTTTCTGCCTCCAAGAACACCCCAACCACTCTTGATTCCTAACAACTGTAAATAGAGTCCCAGTCCTGTCCCTTTCCCCCTTCTGAGACCATAAATGGAGATGGAAAGCATACCCTTCTCTCACTACTTACTGGCTGCCTACAGAATAGCATCCAGAACACCAAAGTCAGTCAACTGGCTCTGTCTCCAAGGGTTACTCCGGAAGCCAAGGAACAAAACTAATGTTCCCTTGCAAGAAAGGTGCCATACTTATGAGGAAGTGACATAGGCACAAGCAAATCTACCAATTTTTTCCCTATATTTGCAAACATTTATTCTCTTGATCAAAAATAAATTCACCAAATTTTAATAATATACATGGGGAGGAACCAGAGAAAAGACATTTTTCAAGGCCACCAAACTGAGCTTATAATTTCTTTTGGTGATGTAATTGTGAGTAATGAAATCAGCATCTCTGACAGCTAAGCACACCTCCTAGTTGTAGTACATACCTGAAACACATATTTACAATGTGCTGGTATCTACCAGGTGTTTGGTAATGTCTAAAACCACAATAATCTAATGTACTGAAATGACTTTAAGAAGATTTCCAAATCAACTTTCTCTCCTTCAAGATACAAATGCACACAAGCAGTATCTTGTAAATCTAATAAGCACCAAAAACTCAAGAACAGTCTGTTTAAACAGGGCACATCCACTAAGATGGTGGGGGTGGAGCGTTGAGGTGCACGACTCACACGTCGGCTTAACTGCTACCCTAGGACCCACTAGGATTCACTTGAGAGCTTAGACATAGATAAAAAGGACATTTGGAGACCTTCCAATTCTTACCACCCACTGAAAAGATTATACAATACATTATCCTCTAAATGCTTAATCAAAGCATATAATTAAAAGACTGGGCGGCTGTATCAACAATCCTAAATAAACCAACTAAAATCTTCTCTAAATCAGGCATCATGATGCTCCAGAGTCCAGGAAAATGAGGCTGCAGCTCCCATTTGAGTCAGCAAACAAATCCAACATGATGCACCATTTGGCTTTCTTGGTGAGCCACGGTTTAGTTAATATGACTTAATCTTGCTTCACTTCCTTCTTCATTTACCTCACTCATCTCAGAAATGTACAGCAATTTAATCTCTAACTGGAAAAACTTAAAACTTGAGGCTATTCTATGAAAAGACAATAGTTAACCTCTTTACTGTGAGAAATCTCTCTGGTAAGTTGATTGCACGTTTCTCTCTCCTCCTTGGAGGAGGGGCTATAAGACTATACTATCCACCCAGATAGAGGTCGTGAGGAGTTGAGGAAATCTAAACAGAACTAAGCAAGGTAACTTCAGGGGGCCAAAGCAGAGTTGATCCCAGTACCTGATTCAGAAACACCAGGTGAATGAGTGCTTATCAATCCACCATAGCAAGTGCTTGAGTTTCAGAACTACAAATGGAAAAGAACCAGAGAAAAGGCTTGAGGGGTGGGTGCTCCATTACCAAAGCAGGGGAAAAGCTGGCTGACAGCTGACAATTTACAGGACAGAGGAAAAATCTTGCCAGAGTTTAAGATTAAAGTAAAAGGAAATCAGAGAATAAAAAGATGACATTCATTGTGGATGAATGTATGGGGAGTCTATGGGAAGGGGGGCAGGTAAACAAAGGCAGGAGTTTTAGATTGGCAGGATTGAGGGTTTGACGGCAGCAATGCAGAGAAAGACCCAGGGTTACAGTACACGTAACATTAAATACAGTGCACAATGCAGCTATCTTGCCAAAGTAAGTAAATCCAGTATTGGGTTGTATAAGCAGAGGAATCACATGTAAGCTATGAAGGTGGCTCTTCCTCTCTATTCAGCACCGGTGAGGCCACAGCTGGAGCACAGCATTCAGGTCTGGGCATCGAACCAGCTACAAGAGAGGGAAATTGTAGAGTTCAGAAAAGGGCAAATAAAATAATGATAGGCTTGGAAAATAAGATCTACAAGCAGGGCCAGTGGTTTCAAAGCCCTTCCTGACATTATTAAGTTACTCAGGGCGAGACTGAGGTTTTTCACTTCAGTGTCCTCTAATCCCTGCTTGCATTCCGAAGTGGGAAAAGCTAGTTCCTCCCTGGTTTGGGAACACAGGAGGAGAACTAGCTAGCTCATTTAGGCACAGGCCAAGGATTCTGCTAGTGGCTCCGTACTTTACCCACTTCATACAGTAAAATCATCACCATGACAAAAACCACTGTTCTAACAGAGCTGAAAGCAGGTGGAACAGAGCATACAGTAAGGAGGAGCAGAAATAAGTCATAACAGCCGTATAAACATGCTGCTGTTTAGAAAACACTGGCTTCATTGGGCTAAGATGTCAGATGAAAAATAAAGTGAACCTGCAGGGAGGACAGCTTAGTTATAATAGCAGGAAACAATGTTATAAAAAAACAAACAATACACAGCTTTTCAAATGTAGTTGTCAAACTGGCCGTACTAAGCATACCCAACGGCCAACTGAACATGACAAACCCAAAATTGTCACTCACATGATGAAAATGTATAGAAGTGTCAAAATAACACTTCAAACTGGGCATGGCAGTCCACATCTATAATCCCAGCATGCAAGGCAGAAAGACTGCTGCAAGTCCAAGGCCAGCCTGGCATACATTGAGACCATGTCTGTGGAAAACCACCCCACCAAACAAATACCTCCGGCTAAAGTAAATGAGTAGTCTCTGTAAAATAGATCTTTTTCCTTTAAACTCCTATTACAATTACTACTAGTGACCCCTACGGCAACGAAACACCAAGTTTAATAAAAACTCAAAAGGTCTAAGGACACAGCTCAGTGAAATACTTGCCTAGCAAGTATAAGGCCCTGGGTTCAATCTTAAGCACACGCTCACATATTCATTCTCTCTCTCTCTCTCTCTCTCTCTCTCTCTCTCTCTCTCTCTCTCTCTCTCTCTCTCTCTCATATAGGGGCTGGGGGTGTAACTCAGTTGTAGAGTGCTTGCCTAACATGCTAACAGCAGGTGACACACGCTTGTAATCCCAACACTGGGAGTTAGAGGTAGGAGGATCTCTGTAAATTCCAGGCCAGCCTGGTCTACATAGAATTCCAAGACAGCCAGAGCTAAATAAATATAGCGATCTGTCTCAAAAAAAAAAGAAAGGAAAAAAAAAAAAGAAAAACAAAATAAAAGCATAAATTTGCAATCATATCTTTTGACATACAATTGCAAATTTTGGTTAGAAAGTACCTTCAAACAAAACCATCTGAGCAAAAAATCTTAGTATTTATCACACTGGGTTTTCTGTACATTAATATCTAGCAAACTGACTTCCCAATTGACTAAATTCCTTAAAAACAAACAACAAGCCAGGCGGTGGTGGTGTACATCTTTAATCCCAGCACTCAGGAAGCAGAGACAGGTGGATCTCTGTGAGTTCAAGGCCAACATGGCCTACAGAGCTAGTTCCAGGACAGCTAGGGCTGTTACAAAAGAGAAACCCTGTCTTAAAAAAAAAGAAAAAAGAACTAATAATGTAAGAAATTTGTGTCACCACCCCCCCCCCCTTCTATAGAACAAGTTTTGGCAAGTAAAAACCTTCTAATTCTAAACCTTTTTCTAACCAGGAGAAATTTCTTAGCCTATCAGATCATGGATACCCTCCTGAGGAAAATGCACATCACAAACTTCACTCCATCTCTGAAGAGCCCACATACCTCTGTGTAGGCAGACACCGTAACCACACTCCTAAGGCCTGGCTACAGGTGTGATGGACCACGCCAGTCAGGGTGTGGTCAAGGTGATGTCAGGGTGAAATGGGAGAGGTTTTTAAGGGACAGACAAGGCACATGGGAGCTCTCTCGCCTGACTGCTTTGGCACGCTCTGGCTACTGTTAGCTGGTGTTTATCTATTAAAAGTTATCCTAACCTTATGGATTTCTTATCATTCACCACAATACCTCTGGTTCAAAGCTGCTGTGCTACATACAGCACACAGGCTATTTTTCTATAAAGACATAGGATGTGTTAGGAAGTCTAAGGTAAGTAGACTTAATTTGTATGACAGGCTTCAGAAGAGATTCTAAGGACTGGCACAACCAGGGCCAGCAAGAGGTTACCACCAAACATGGTGACCTGAGTGTAATCCTCTCAGAGCCGAAGTCTTACTATGTTGCCAAGGCTGAACTAAACCTAAAGTCAAGAGATTTCTTCACCTTGGTGTCTCACAAGCTGGAGCCAAAGGCATGCTACACAGCACCCAGAATTCCTGGTTGTTTTTTTTTTTTTTTTTTTAAGAAAATTTCAGTAAAGCTCACAATAAACAAACAAATAAAAACAAGAGAGAACAGTGACTGATTCAGAAAAAAAAAGTCACTTATTACTTGGTTTCTCAATTCATTTTAATAAATTATTTAAGTAAAAAAAAAAAGTATCCTAAATGTGGTGGAGCACACTTGTAATTCTAGCACTGTAGAGGCAGGAGGATAAAAATTCTGGGCTTTCCTGGGCTATATAGCCAGACTTTATCACAATAACAAAAAGAATGTACAAAGATCTCATTTTATTTTTTTGGGGGGGGGGTCAGTTCGAGACAGGGTTTCTCTGTGGCTTTGGAGGCTGTCCTGGAACTAGCTCTTGTAGACCAGGCTGGTCTCGAATTCAGTCATTTTACTTCCTTTTTTTTTTTAAGGTACTTTTTTTCTATGTGATAAGCAACAATTCTTTTTTCTGACGTAGCAATATAAGCAATATTTTAAAATTCATTCTGGTAATACAAGTCAGCCTAGGCTACCCAAGACCCCAGCTCAAAACAAAACTAAAGAACTCCAACAAAATTGGCAGGTACTATGGAAAAGCTTGGCAAATGCTATATATACTAGACTGGGAATGGCCCCTCAAGCATGCTAGGAAAGCACTTAGAAGGGAGTCTACCTTGGAAGGGAATGTTAAACAGGGTGGGATGTCCATACAGGCTGGCACTCCAGGAAAAGCAGTCCTCTAAAGCTGCTACGTCAGAATAGCAGCTGGTGTTTGTTTTCTCAATACTTCTCACTTTGGGGCTCTGACTCCAGTGGTATTGAGGTAACATTAAAATTGTCATTAATTTACTAACAGGTGATAATGAGGGGGAAGCACACTCACAAAAGTACTTCTAGCACAGCAGAGGGAAACATTCCTCCCCTTTTAAAAGTCTCCATAGGGACTGAAGAAATGGCTCAGCAGTTAGGAACATGTGTGGGTCTTGAGACCAGAGTTCCATTTTCAGCATCTACACCAAGAAGCTCACAATAACGTAACTCCAGCTTCAGGGGGATCAGACACCCATCTGACCTCCTCAGACACATGCACATAAACAACAAAATATTCAAAACGTAAGTCCCCATACAAACATTTCATATTATGAAGTAACTATTCCACAATCATGCCGCCAAATTAAGGCCACTCTCCTAACAACAAAAGCCCAAACAACAAGAAAAATCCTGACCAGCTTTTATTGTAGTAACATTACCTTGCTGCTGAAATACAAAAGTAGCCTCTACTCAAAGTTTTAAAGTGAAACCACTGGGTTAATGAGAAGGCTGGGCAGGTAAAGATGCTTGGCTGAACAAGCCTGGCCACCTGAGTTCCATCCACAGAACCCATAAAAGGTAGACAGAATGAAGCAATTGCACAAAGCTGTACTGACACCCACATGCACTTTGTGGGGCACACCCAATAATCGTTTTTAAAATATGAACCTAATAGTAGGCCACTTAATCTCTTTCATATGCTATCCATGTAATTATCTCATTATGTACTTATTTTCTTTCTCTTTCTTCCTTCGAGAATATAGCCCTGGATAACCTGGAACTCCTACAGACCAGGCTGCCCTCTGCCTCCTGAGTGCTGGGATTAAAGACATGTGCCACCACTACTACCAACTGTACTTGTTTTCTTACTGGAAACTACCATCTAACATGCAAAGACAACCTACAGTAAGTGTTTCTATTAGTAAGTTTATGTATTTATGAAATCAACCCTGACATCCATAAAAGCTCACCTAAAAAACTTAAGATACCAGACTCCTTCCTCAAGACATCTGTCCCATGGCTACAGAGATGGCTCTACAGTTAAGAGCACTGGACAATCTTTTAAAGAACCCAAATTCAATTCCTAGCCCATCATATAGTGTTCTCAACTGACTATAATTCCAGTCCCAGAAGATCTAATATCCTCTTCTGACCTCTGAAGGCAACCAGCACATACATGATGCAGACATACATGTAGGCAACACACACACACAATTTAAAGAAAGAAACAAACAAACAAACAAAAGGCTTCTAGGCCTAAACATTAAATCAAGATTTAACCAGTTCTAAAAATGGGTGGGTTTTTTGGTTTTTTTTGCATTTATATGGTATAAACTATAAACCATAACTGCACGAGGGGAAGAGCTCTCTTACCATTTTTATGAAAGCATAATAGAAAAGCAAGTTATACATCTACTCTAAGTTTCTGCCTTGGGGCAACCTAACTATTTAAAAGCTGGAGGACATGATGGGTACACCTCTGTAACCCCAGCACTGGGAAGTGGGGGCAGAAGCATCATTCATTCAAGGTCATCTTCAATCAATTGCATAGTAAGTTTCAAACCAGCCTGAGTTACATAAGATTCCATCTGGGGGTTGGGGGGGGGGAATTGTATTGTTAGACAGTTTTGTCTGGAGCAGAAATATAGTGTACTTACCCAAACCTAATGGGCATGGGTCTATCATGGCACTTGAGGGGGCAGTCAGTATAATGAGGCATTCTGTCTTACAGTAATGACTTTAAGTTAATACACTATAAAATGATTGTAACATACACACCTAAATTACCAGTAGCACACCCACTATCATATTCAAGTATTATGCATTGTCCGTACTTAAACGTGGGACTGTGTGGTATCTTTTTTGTTGTGCCTGTTTTGTTTTGTAAGACAGTCTCACTCTGTAACTCAGACTACCCTGAAATTCACAGAAATCCTCCTGTATCAGCCTCCCCTGCTTGTTTGTTTGTTTATTTATTTATTTATTTATTTATTTATTTATTTCATTGTCAACTTGACACAAGTTAAGGTCATCTGGGAAGCAGAAACCGAAACTGAAAAAAAAAAAATGTTTCTATCAGATTGGCTTTGTGGGCATGTCTATGGAGCAATTTCTTGATTGATGTGGAAAGGCCCAGGCCACTATGGTCTGTGCCATACCCGGGCAGGTGGTCCTGGGTGGTATAATAAAGCAAGCTGACCAAGCCAGAGGGAGCAAGCCAGTTAGCAGTGCTCCTCCATGGTCTCTGCTTCGGGTCTTGTCTTCAGAGTCCTAAATGAGTTTAGGCCCTGACTTCTCTTCATGATGGATTGTAATCCATCATGAAATTGATAGATGAAATAAACCCTGCAGCAACACAGATACTGATTCACGGGACTAGGTGCAAATATTCAATATAATTTATTTCAGGGAGAAGTCTCCTACACAAGAAGCAGATGGCCTCCGTTGGTGGCCGCTCTAAGGACCCACACAGACTGCTCTTCTGTGACCCAACCAAAAGCAAGGGAGCCCTCAGGTCAGGGACCTGAGCTAGTCCTACCCTCCTTCATGGCCACACCTGTGACCACACCCAAACAGGCATGGTCAGTGCTACAGGTGTGGGCAGGGTGGATATCTCACTACAAAACCCTTTTCTCCTCAAATTGCTTTTGACCATGTTTATCAAAGCAACAGAGAGAAAAGGCTGCCCTATACTTTGATGGATTGGCAACAGAGTAGGTTTGTTCTACCAGTATCACAACATGCTGAGTAATGTTTTATCATAGGACATAAGGATGGCTACAAAGACTTGGCTAAATGACAACAAATTTTTGGCTCCATTATAATGGGACTTATAGGACTGCCTTTGTGTACACCTCCAATGTTGACAAAGTGTCATTGTGTGGAACACAACTTGTACTCATTACAGTTCATCTCATCACCATTGTAATCTCTAAGGAGACAAGTCCCCAACCATTTATTCATATAGCAAATAATAGAAAGCACATGAGATGGCCATAGTCTATAACATCCTTTAGCAAGTAAGCATCAGACTTACCTGTTTTTATAATCAAAAAGTAATTGTAGCTTGTAGATGTTTCTTCTGCTGTAATTCAGGCTCCTTTAAGGAGTTGACAGCCTAAGAAGCACCATCATCAAGATGAAGATGTGAATGAATAACAATGAATCTTCTACAATAAAGGCTTTCATTTTAGTTCCACATTTTTAAACTCTTCTTAAAACTTCCAAAGCAGAATTGTGTTTGTTGTTGAGTGAAACCTCTTTTGTAATCTAAAACTTGTTCACCATGAGTTTTGACACATATAAGGAGTATGATACAGTTCAAAGTTATGATGATATTGATAAGAATGTAGCTAGGAATAAAAGGTTTATGGGGGCCTGGGAAGATGGCTTAGCAGTTAAGAACATTGGTTGCTTTTCAAGAGGATCAAAGTTCAATTCCCAGCATCCACATGGCCATTCACAATTGTCTTTAACTCCAATTCCAGGAGCTCTCACCACGTTTCTGGACTCCTCTAGCAATGCATGCATATGATGGACTTAAGTTTATGTGCAGGCCAAACATTCACAATAAAATCTATTTTTTAGGCTGATAATTTAAAAGCATAGGTGATGAGAAAACTCAGATGTAATGGTACATTCGACCTTCCACTTTTCATGGAACAGGTGAAACCTAGCCCCTTTTGTTAAGGCTTCTGCCTTGGACATATCTGCGTTGATATATGTCTCACTGTAAATGGATGTTTAATGTAGCAAGCAGTATATTGCCACATTTAATCTTCATAGGTTTCACCATGACAGAGATTTGCAAACAGCAATCTTAGAGTCAAACACTCCCTAGTGATGTGGTGCCAGTTTTCATTTTACAAGAATTTTTGAGGGGCTCAAACCCAAATGACTCTAGAGAGTAACTGTAACTGTACTTCCCTGTTCAGGTACACAACATTATTTGGAATCAATACATAATTTCAACTGAGATACATTTAGCATCATAACATAAGAATATAGCAGGCTGTAAGATTCCATAAATCTGAATGATGAAAAATAATTCAATGAGAAATAAAGGCACTTGCCCAGTGTATAAAAGGACCTGGGTTTAATTTCAGGCAGGCACGCATGCATGGAAAAAAAATAATACTAAGAGGACTAAAGATGTAGCTCAGTTGGTAGAATGCTCGCCTAGCATGCATGTAGTCCTGGGTCTGATCCCCAGCACTACTTAAATGAGGCATGGTGGCAAATGCCTATAATCCCCGAATTAGAGAAGAGACAGGAAAATCAGCAGTTCAAGGTCATCCTCAGCCACATACTGAGTATGAGGCCAGCCTGGGATAAATGAGACATTCCCTATTGGGGGGCGGGGACAGAAAAGAGAAAAAGAAAAAATATGTAAGCACAGTGGTGTGTCCATCTGGATATACTATATGGTTTGGGTATTACATTTATACTTTATGCTCCAAAAACATTACTGCACTTGTCAAAATTTAACGAAAGTGGGCTGTTGATTTGTAGGAGGAAATAAACCAAGTTGTTATAAACACAGGATCTGGAGTGAGAATGCTTATTCTATTGTTGCCACCTGCTAGCATTTGTGGCATTAGCCAAATTAATCTTCATGCCTTAATTTCTCCACCTGTAAAGCAGAGTTGAAGACAGGACTTCATCATAGATTTCTTGTGAGCATTAGATGAGAAGTAGAGCCTTTAAAGCAATGTAGCTAATTGCTTTTATTCAACACATGTTAGCTAGTATAACTGTTACAAGATGATAGAGCTGCAATGTGTGTATACTAAGGAGCTTATAAGCAAAGGTAAACTCAAGTAAATTAAAGTGTTTTAGCAAAGGCACACAGTAAGAATAAAGTGTGAAAGACACCTTCAACTGAACCTCACTGACAGGAGTGACCCCAGCACTTGGAGAATGGTTCCAAGTTCTAGGCCAGCCAGGACTACATAAAAAGATTCTATTTCAACACCCCTTCATCTCTACAAAAAGAACCTTACTATAGCAATCAACATCAAGAGTTGCCAGGATAGGGGGCTGGAGAGATGGCTCAGGGGTTAAAGAGTTGCCAGGAGGTGGTGGCACACACACCTTTAATCTGAGAGGCAGAGCAGGTGGATCTGTGATTTTGAGGCCAGCTTGGTCTACAGGGTGATTTCCAGGACAGCCAGGGATACACAAAGAACCGCTGTCTCAAAAAACAAAAGAGTAAAACAAGAGTCATGCAAGAGAGACAAGGGGGAGGGCAAGAGTTTCAACTAACCCACACCAGCATGCTATAGAAATGCTACCTTTATTTTCTCCCACCTTAGTACTGAAAAGACTCCTTTAAGATAATTTGTTTGATGACATATAAGTTCAACACACAAAAGGACTTCATACTAGATGAGGGTCTGTGACATTGCTATGTAAATATATTTTACCCAAAATCAAATTTCACAAACATCTAGCTTTGTTAGCTAATTAATCCCATCAATCTGTAGGCTTAGTATGAATATAAGTAACATATAATTAACACACTAACATATAAACAAAAAGGGAAAAGTACTCCTATAACTCCCTACCCAGTGAATTAAGCCACAAGAAGCAAACATGAAGGAAAACTCATCACAAATGGTGAAATAAGGTACATAAATAAGCCAGGAGATAGAGGTATACATCTTTAATCCCAGCACTCAGGAGGCAGAGGTAGGGGGATCTCTATGAGGTGGAGGCTGCCAGCATGGTCTATAGAGTAAGTTCCAGGACTGCCAGAGCCACATAGAGAAACCCTGTCTTGAAAATAAAAAAAATTTTTTTTCAGATGTAGATGATTCACCCATATATATTCTTGGAGTTTGATAGAATAAAGCTATCACATTCTTGTTCTGGAGTTTTTCAATTTTTAATAATTTATTTATTTTCATTTGTGTTTTGCCTTACATGTATGCCTGTGTGATGGTGTCTGGTCCCTGTAACTGAGGTTACAGACATTTGTGAACCGCCATATGGCTACTGGGAATTCACCCTGGGTCCGCTGGAGTAACAGCCAGTGCGCTTAACCACTGAGCCATCTTTCTAGCCTGGAATTCTTGTATTTGATACATGAAAATATACTGAAATTAAAAGTAGGTTTACCAATTTTGTTGAAAAATAAACATTTTAGGAATGTGTGGCTATGCTATAGTAAAGAAACTAAAACTTCTTTTTTTTTCTTAGTTTAGTAGTCTACTAAACTATGGATACATTACTTATATAAACGGAAACCAACGTTTTATCTTTTTCTAAAATGGGCACAACCCTGACTTCTCAAAGCCCACTGTTTCCTAATTTGAGGAAGAGAAGGAAATTACCTGTTTTGGCTCAAGACTGGACACTGCATACATAGCACGTGCATCAAGAGGAGGTGGGTGCTCTGAGCTAGTCACTGGCAGAACAATAACACAGCACTTGGCTGCTCAGTGAGGCAAATCTCAGTGTCACCTGGATGCATACAATGCAAAGAATTAAAAAGCATGAAAACCATTCTCAAAAAAACAAAAGCCAACTGACCTATTCTTTATGTAAAAGTGCAAGGTATGGTGTTCAAACTGAAGCCACTAACAGAAATATCACATCTGAGGAGCTTCTGTCCTGTATTGATTGTTCTTACTTGTTTTTTTTTGAAATAAGGCTCCACTGTGTAGCCAAGCTGGGCTCAAACTCTTCTGCCTCCTACTGTCAGGTAGTGGAATTACAGGAGTAAACCATTTGGTTTGAATTAGCCGTTTTAAAATACCTATTTTCTCAGGACTAAAGTACGTGGGACCATGATAGAGTGCCTACCTAGCATATGCAAGGCTTTAGGCTCAATCCCCATCACTGCAAGAACAAAATTATCATCATTTTCTATTACAATATAGGATCTGTGGTTTGTTTTTGAAAATCAGTTTTGTAACCAGATGTGGTGACAGACTTGTAATCTCAGAATTTAAGAGATGCAGATGGGCCAACCAGAAGTTCTACCATCAGTTACATAGTGAGTTACATACATAGTGAGGGCAGCTTGAGCTAGAGATACTGTATTTAAAAAAAAAAAAAAATTTATCTTTTTCTTTTTGTTCATTGATATATTCCCAGTGTCTTCAAAACCTGGCATATAAAAATGGCTCCATAAATCTTTGGTGGGTGAGTAAATAAAAATTCTTTAAGATTGTTTGTTAGGCATTCAGATACCACATACAAGGTTGACCAGGACTAACACTTTCTTCTTTGTAAATCACAACCCAATCTTTCCAAGGAGAAAAAAATACTTATAAATTAAATAAATAATAAAAAGCAGCTTTTTACTGATATGAACTTTTATTTTGGTTTTATTAATATCACTTACAAACATAATTGGCTTGTTTGAATAAATGAAGTAATCTAAAGAAAAAGTACTGTGAATTTCAGAAGTTTGAGCTATTACAATCAAGGAGTCTCACAAGACTGAGGAACTACAACTAGAAAACACAGAAGTAAACAACTTCCTATCTACTCTATCAATTATCCTTAATCAGTTTTTGCTAGCTCAAAATATTATATTCATTAACAGAGCTAAGAACACATACAGAAAACTGAAATGGTGACTGCTATTCCTAGAATATCTGAGAAAAAGATACAGACATATTATTTCACTAAGGCCCACATCCTAAGTGAAAAGGTAACACTCAGTGCCAAGAAAAACGAAGTATTTCCACAGGTTCTCAAGGACTCTCTAAACTACAAATTTCAATGATTTCAATACGTCTTTTTCCAAGTGCAGATATCTTTCACCTAGTATTAAGAATAGTGGGAAGGTTCAGCACAGATTACAAACTCCAGATAACTGTGGCATATGATGCATAAGAGGCACTGGCTCATTAAGAAACCATTTTAACCAAGAAACCATATATAAGTTTCTGCAAAGACAAGAAGTAGGCAGAATAGATAGAGCATGGTATATAAAGTCATCCTACAGTGATAAAATTAAGGAGTATGTCCTTATTCCTGTGACCCTAAAAACTGTTTAAAATCTAAAGCACTTCCAGGTTTGGTGGTGCATGTCTCTAATCCCAGCACTCTGGAAACAGAACCAAGCGAATCTCTAAATTTGAGACCAGCCTAGTCTAGGAAGTGAGTCCCAAGACAGCTAGAGCTACATAGCGAGATCCTGCCTCAAAAATAACAAATAAAACTAATGCATTCACTAATAGTACTTGTTAGTTATTTCTGAAACTCCTTTCCATTTTATTTCATTTTCTAAACACGGAATTCACAGCAGCGGGGGTGGGGTGTGTGTGCCTTTCCTACAAGGGTAAAACACAGCTAATGCAGTGGTTCTCAATCTTTCTAATGCTGTGACCCTTTAATACAGTTCCTCATGTTGTGGTGACCCCAACCATAAAATTATTTTCATTGCTACTTCATAACTGTAATTTTGCTACTATTATGAATTGTAATACAAATATCCTGATATGCAGGATATCTGATATGTAACCTCTGTGAAAAGGGGTTCATGACCTACAGGTTGAGAACTGCTGTTCTAAACCAGTCTGGTGACACCCTCTTATAATCTGAGCACCCCAGAGGTAGATAGATACAGGAGAATTGTTGAGACTTCAAGTTTGACCTAATCCACCTAGTGAGCACTAGGCCTGTCAGAACTATCTTGCCTCAAAATAGTTTAAATGTTTTTAAACTGAAATCTTAGATGTGAATTTAGCTCTTACCCTATGGTTTAAAAAAAAAAAAAAAGTAGGATAATCAATCTTCTGTCCACATCTGTCCATACTGGACAGACTGGAGGCTAGAAGAAAGTATCTTCCTCCAGGCGGTGGTGATGCAAACCTTTAGTCCCAGCACTCGGAGGGCAGCCAGCCACAGGAGGATCTCTGTGAATTTGAGGCCAGCCTGGTCTACAGAGTGAGTTTCAGGACAGGCTCCAAAGCCACAGAGAAACCCTGTGGGGGGGGGGGGAATGAATGTATCTTCTAGGGCAGGACTGTCCAAACATGGTGTTCTATTTCTATCTCACTGGGTTGTGAGTAATGAGGCCTAAAACTTAGACATGAAGTTCATGAACTTCATGAAGTCCCATGAAGGTCATCTGTGACCATAGCAAAGAACTGGCAGAAGTAGACAGGCAGTTCTAGAACAACAAACCCCTCAACAACTGTGCCAGGTATGAAATCTGTTCTCTTCTCCCAAGCTTCCACTGCCACTGCTCTTACCATTTGCCTAACTCACTGAAAGGATAACTTCAAAATCAACTCCATGCCTCCACTCTTACCCTTTCTGTTGATATGACTGCCAGTGACTGCTATAAAATGGGGATAAAAGCCCATTTCCTGTATATCACCTGACCTCCAGTTTGTCACCAGTCTCCTTTCTTCTTACTACTACTTCCCTTGGCCCTTCACTCCATCAAGTGTTCCATTGGAGAATCTGGGACTTCATACTATGTTGTAATAACTCTAGAAGAGCAAGCACAGTGTGGACAAATAATGGATCAGCAGGCAGGTAAAAACACTTGTTTGCTGATCTAAGTTTGATCCCTGAAACCATAGGCACCTGCACACATGTGATGAACAGAATACATATACATATATATGCAGGCAAAATGCCCAAACATACAAAATAAACAATTTTAAATATAAATAAAAACTTTTAGCAAGAGCACAAGGCTATCAAGATGGCTGAGTGTGTGAGGGGGCTTGCCACCAGGCCTGTCTGACCTGAGCTCAATCTCTGGGATTCACACTGATAAAAGGAGATGACCAACTCCCAGACACTGCTGTGTGCTGACTTGCACATGTGTCATGGCCCTTGCACACCCAAGAACACACACACACACACACACACACACACACACACACACACTAAATGTAATAAAATTTTCAAAAAGAGCAAAATGGAAAATGTTGGTCTCAGGGGCAGAAGAGATAGCTCAGTACTTAAGGAACACTGAATGTTCTTCCAGGACCTGAGTTCAACTCCCAGCACCCATATGGCAGCTCACAACTGTCTGTAACTCCAGTTTCAGGGGACCCAAAACTTCCCATGGCAAAACACTACTGCACATTAAAAAAAAATGTTGGTCCCACCTCTGTATCTTCCAGGTCTATTTTTGAGGGGGTGGGGGGAGAGCAAGGTGGTGGTGATACAGGGTCTTGTGTCTTATAGCCCAGGGTGATCATCTCAACTCTATTCCCAAGTGCTGGGATTATAGCTCAGCTCAGTCCTTTTGTATAAAACTGTAGGATGGGACGAGAGGCGAGTTCTAGCCAGTCTGAGCTACAAAGCAAAACCTTGCCTCCTTGCCCAAGACAGAACAAGAAGGGGTAGACAGGGGAAGGGAGGGGAGGTCCTAGTGCTTCAAGAGGGTGGCTAGTAAGACAGTTGAACAGGGGTACCTTAAGTTAAAAGAATGGATGCAAGCAACGGGCATATGAAGAAGGCCAGGCTGAGCCTGTGTACACAGAGTAACAGGTGGTGTCCTGGGCCAGTGCCAGGGTATAGCAACCTTTATCGGGGAGACCTCAAAGTATCTCTGGGCTACTCCATGATCCCTCAAATGGGTCCCTGCTGCTGCAGACTTTCCCAGGCAAAGGCTGTTCTATCAATGTGCAAGAGAGCAAAGAAGCACAGCCACAGAGTTGCTAATGTAACATGCTGGTTAATGAGAAGCACAAACAGACAGGAAGTCAGGCAGATCCCCAAATGTAAAGGTTGGAGGTATGGAACATGGAGGAAAGGGCTCATCCCTTTGATGAATTCTAAGCTGTCTTCCCTTGCCCTGTCCCTCCAGCTCTTCTATTCTGCCTTCTCCAGAGTATACTCCATGGGGACAACATGACCCTGAGATGCCTGTATCCTCCTTCCTCTCATTTTCCTCATACCAGTTGTAGGTGTAAAATGTCTGGAGACCTAGCACAGTGCTACAGATAGGATGGTTGAGCAGTGCCTCAGGTTGGGTTACCAGGAGAAGCAGTATTGGCAAAAACTGGGGAAAAAGAAAAGCAGTGTGACACCAGGGGACAACAAAGAGGGCATAGCAGGAGAAGGTTCCGCCTCTGTTAGATGTTTCCATATTCATAGTTATTAAAGAGTCTCTGAAGCTGGTCTGCCTATGTTCCAATAGGACAGAACCTATCGGAGGAAAGTGCACATGGTGTCAGCAAGTTAATGTTTGTAAGGCACTTAGAACAGTCTGTGGTATATGCTCAATGTAGCACTATATAGTGTAAACTATATAGTGTAAGTTTTATTTTGTAAAACTTATTTTTATTATATGTATGTACATGTGATAGTAATGTGAGTACTAGTCCCCAAAAGAAAATATATTCGCTTTGTGGGTTGTAGTCAAATAAAGATGTATAACTCTAGGTTTCCTTAAAATCAATTTTATGAAATGCAATCATAGATATTTACACAGTTCAATACTAGAAAATTACGCTAATCATCAAAAATGTTTCCTAGAATTGGTGCATTCACTCAAATGCCCTCATGAAATTACCAGTTTACTCTTTCAGATGCTTCTTTACAACACTATGAAGCAATCATTCACAGATCCTAAATCACAGGCCATGTACTAACACAGAAAATTGTTCTTTAATTAAAAGGCACTGCTTTTTAAATAATCACTTAAAAATTTTCTAACATAGCCAGGCAGTGGCGTCACACACCTTTAATCCTAGCACTCAGCAGGCAGAGGGAGTTAGATCTCTGAGTTTAAGGCCAGCCTGGTCGAAAAGTGAGGTTCAAGGACAGATAAGGTTGTTGCTGTTACACAGAGAAACCCTGCTGGGAGGAGGGAGGATGGAACTATGACAATTCCACTGTTTAGAAGAATCCAGGTTACTCTGCTCCTGAGCACCATGAAACTCATCAGCTGCCTTCTGCCCAATTAAGCACCACACGAGCTTAGTATCATTGCCAACACAGCTGTACACACTTTACTGCCCAGTAACTGGTTCTTCAGTGTATAATTCCTTTAAGGTAAAGGCACACCACTATACTTCTCAAACACTTACTGTAAATAATGAAAACTTAAGGTCTTTATTTCAGACATTATTACTTAAAGAAACACTGGCTCTCGAGAATCGAGTCCCACTGTTATCAGGCAAGAAAGATATCCAAAAGCTACTCAGAGCTTTCCTCTGCTGATCGATCAGGGACCTAAAAACCTTAGGGATTAGTGTCAAACCATTGTTTATTTTTAGGAATAAAATTTGGTCTCTGAATTTGGAATGACCAAAGTGACAATAGGTTTAAGACACTGCTTCTTTCAAATGTAACTAGAATATTCTTCCTCAATATATCTACCAATAAGAATATTACAAGGATTCTTCAGTTTCAGAGCACATTTTTCATAAATTTCAGTCATCTTCGTCTTATTCAACCCAAACAGGCTTAGTATTTTAAGTTTCTAATAATTTCCTTTAAAAATTTTAAATGTTTTTAGATTTATTTCATCTTATCTTATGTGTATGAATGCTACCCATATGTATCTATGTAAACCATATTCTTATCCAGTGCCCATGGAGGTTAGAAGAGGGTATCAAATAGCCTGGAACTGGAGCTATGAATAGCTGTGAGCTACCATGAGGTTGCTGGGAACTAAACCAAGGTCTTTTGTTAATAGAAACAAATGTTCCTAATTAATTGCTGAGCCATTTCTCCAGCTCCTGATCTAAATTTTTACTGTCTAAAAATGTTTAGAGTATACATGAATTTCAAAAAGTCTACGGAGACTACACAGCAGAAAAACTTGCACACCATAATTCCAAAGTCCTGGCCAATATAACAGCACTGAGCCATGTGACCATTCACACTTAAATTCAAAACTCTGTAGTCACTCTGGTAACATTTCAGTTATTCAACAGCACTTGTGTTAGTGTCCACTGCAACAGGTAGAGCAGGTGTAAGGCCTTTCTACTATCGCACAACTATCACACAAAATCCTCATAAACTTTGTGTGCCTGAGAACCAAGAACTTAGTACCTGCCCTAGTCAACTGACCTTAGAATACTTTTAGTTCTTCAACTAAAATCTCCACTACCTAGAACAGTGAACCATTTCAAGGGTCCCCTTACAGAGAAATAGAATGGCATGACAAGTGAAAGGAACTCTAATCTTCCCCTAGAGGTCTGAGAATGTAGCCAAGGGAATCCTTTTATAGAGCACTTTAGGGCCAGGTGGTGGTGACACAGGCCTTTAGTCCCAGCACTTGGGAAGCAGGAGCAGGTGGATCTTTGTGAGTTTGAGGCCAGCCTTGTCTACGAAGTGAGTTCCAGAACAGCCACAGTTGTTACACAGAGAAACCCTGTTTTGAAAAATCAAACCAAAAGAGTGTTTTAATACTCTAACTTTCATATAGTAGTCATTAGTTAAAGTGCCTATTTAAAAATTTATTTAAAAGTTTAAAGCAACTTGCTGGGCGGTGGTGGCGCACACCTTTAATCCCAGCACTCGGGAGGCAGAGGCAGGCGGATGGATCTCTGTGAGTTCGAGACCAGCCTGGTTTACATGAGCTAGTTCCAGGAAAGCCTCCAAAGTCACAGAGAAACCCTGTCTCAAACCACCCCCCCACAAGAAAAAAAAAAAAGTTCAAAGCAATTTAATCAAAACTAAATATAATTTAAAATCCAGTCACTTGGGCACACTAGTCACATTCCAAGGGGCCAGTAGGCACGTGTATTTGATAGCAATCAAACTGAACAGATACAAACATTCCCATCATCACAGAAAGCTTCATTGGAATGCAATGTTTACACTACATGGCTTGTTTCATATTTTTCCTTTTTGGGTTTTCAGACAGGATCCCACATAACCCAGGTCAGCTTCTCTACAGAGTCAAGAATGACCTTGAGGTCTCAATCTTCCTACCCATACCTCCCAAGTGCTGGGATTCTACTGTTCTACCATGCCCCCTTTGCTATCCTGGAGAAGGAATCCAAGGCTTATCCATGCTGGGCAAGTGATTCTACCACAGTTATATACCCAGCTAACTATACCTGTACACTTTCTCAATGTTTCCCTTTACTTGTCTTGTCTTGTTGTTGTTTTGTTTGTTTTTTGGTTTTTTTTTTTTTTTATGGTGGCTAAAACTGAATTTGGACTCACTTAAGAGAAACACAGCTACAAATATATCTATGAAGGGGATTCCAGAAAGGTCTGGGGAAGGAAACCAATGCTGGTGGCATCATCCCTATGTGATGAGGTCTCAGGCTGAATAAAAAACAGGCAGCTCACTGAACAGCAGCACTCATCTCTCTGCTTCCTTACTGTAAACACAATACATTCAGAGCTGCCTTAAATTCTTGCTGGCATGACTTCCCTTCCATAATGGACTACATCTGCAAACTGTGAACCAAAATAAACCTTCCTTCCACAGTTGCTTTTGTCAGATATTTTGTTACAGCAATGGGGAAAAGTAACCAATATGGGTCTCCTGTGTATCCCAGATTAGCTTGGCACTTTTCATGCAGCTCATGCCAACCTTGAATTTGCAATCCTCCTGCCTCTGCCTCCTGAGTGCTGGAATTGCAAGCGTAAGCCACCAACCACCAGGCCCTGATATACATTTAAACTCTACTCTTCATTTAAAAAAAAAAAAAAAAAGCCAGGATATAATTGAGAATCCCATTCATTCACAATTCTAGTGGGACTTGTTAGCACCTCTTTAAAGCTAAAAGTCCTAGTGTAAGATTCATGAGACAGATAAGACTTTGATAACTTAGCCCAGGAGGACCTTGACCTCTCTATATAGCCTGGCTGGCCTTAACCTTCTGCTCAACCTCCCTTGTGCTGGGAGTGTAGGCATGAGCCACCATACTCTGTTCAAAGGAACTGGTTTTGGTGGCTGTTACTGTTTCATACAGTGCTATAGATAGAACCCAAGGCCTTACAAGGCTAGGCAAATAAAAGTTCCAGCACTGATCCATACTCCAAGATCCCAAACAAGTAAGTTTCTACGTGATAAACAAGCTTTCAAGTGACAGGAAGATGGGGAGAACAGAATTAGAATACGCAACAAATGATAAGCCAAAGATCTAACCGGACCTAGTTATGTGTTTACAACATTCTTGGAGATCTTTCAACACAAAGAAGAAAAGTCTTGTCAAAACACCAAAGAAAGTCCTCAGGGGTCAGTAGGGCATTAAAATGCTTGTACAAGGAGAGCAGCATCTTTTGGCTCCAAGTTATTTCAGCTCTACTGGTTCTCACAAACAGAAGGCATATGCTAAAATAAAAGTCCAAATACACTGTACTGTGATTTGGTTCCTAAACAACAACAACAAAAAATAAACAAACAAAAATGTATTTCGATGTACAAATCTAAGCAACGTCCCCAAAAAAAACTGTTTCGTTTGCTAGACAGGACTACTCTGACAGTTAACCAGCATGGAACAAACACAACAAAGGCAAGTTTGTTAGGTCACACACAGTCACCTTGCCTTTCAACTGCAGGCAAAGCTAGACATATACATCTGTTCAGAGACATAAAGCCAACTCTCAAGAGGCAAATTTTTGGCAAACATCCAAAAATATGGGACTTGAGAACAAGGTTTTCAGTGCATCAGATTAACTGACTGAAGTGTGAATGTGGCATCTGGCTCAGAAGTTAATGCTTTTATGAATTCTAAGTCAAGACAGATCTTTCAACTACTGAGGATGCAGGGAGAAGATGGCCCCCCCTTTGAAGTTGTCACACTTACAATTTGCTTCAGTCCTATGCCACTTAATCAAGTACTGCTCTGTATAGCATCACTTGTGTTTCCTACATCTTCTCAACTCCTCAGTGTGTGTGTACAAGCTTCAGCTGGAGTAAAAGCACTGAGATTACAGAAACTGTATTTAGCAGTCCTTTTTGTATTCTAAGGACTAGCAGACAGTTCCACTCAAGGTCCATGTGGTGAGTGAACATATGAAGGAAGAAAAAGTTTATAGAAAAAAAATATGCAAAGTAAACAAGACAACACCAAAAAAAAAAAAAAAAATATAGAAAAAAAATATGCAAAGTAAACAAGACAACACCAAAAAAAAAAAAGAGAGAGAGAGAGAGAGAAAGAAAGAAAAAGAAAAAGAAAAAAACAGCCCCTGTATTTGTTTATCTGACTCCAAAATTGAGCTGGAATTGTAAGCAATCACATTTTCTTCTGGCAAACAAAAATGCAAGAAAATTTCAGAATAAACAATCTGTGTAGCAAAGCAGTTTCAAACATATCTATTTAAAAAAAAAAAGAACAAATACCAACATCACAACAGACATCAAATGAAACTCTGCAACTCTAAACAATGTTTATATCTGACTTTCAATTAAAATATTGTAGGTTTAGAAATACAGTCACTTGAACAATATTAAAAAGTTGAACTTCAGGAACAAAATCCAAAAGCTATTAATATTTATAATCTTAACACTTTCATTGTACAAATAACAAGAACAGTCAGGTGGTGAAGGCACACGCCTTTAATCCCAGCACTCAGGAGGTAGAGGCAGGCGGATATCCATGAGTTCTAGGCCAGCCTGGTCTACAGAGCAAGAGTTCCAGGACAGGCTCCAAAACAATAGAGAAACTCTGTCTCAAAACAAACAAACAAACAACAACAAGAAAAAAAAAAAAAACAAGAACACTCCAGAGAAGTAATATACTTAAAGAAAGTAGTTAAGGGGCAGGAGAGATGGCTCAGAGGTTAAGAGCACCGGTTGTTCTTCCAGAGGTCCTGAGTTCAATTCCCAACAACCACATGGTGGCTCACAACCATCCATTATGAGATCTGGTGCCCTCTTCTGGTGTGCAGATATACATGGAAGCAGGATGTTGTATACATAATAAATAAATTTTAAAAAAGAAAAAGAAAGTACCAAGGGGCTAGGAGAGGAGTCAGATTTCCCATGCCTTCTTATAAGGAAGGCTGTTAGAAAGTATCTAAATGGGACAGTGGTAGCACACATCTTTAATCCCAGCACTTGGGAGGCAGAGGCAGAGTCGGGTGGATCTGGTTCTCTGTAAATTTGAGGCCAGTCAGGTCTACAGAGTGAGTTCCAGGACAGCCAGGGCTACATAGTGAGATCCAATTTCCAAAAAACACATAAAAGGAAGGGAGGGAGGGAGGATCTAAATGGAAAACTGATTATTATTCATCTCTTTTCAAATCAAGAAGAAATTATTTACTAGAGATGGGCATGGTGGTACAGTCCTATAATCCCAACACTCATAAGGTAGAGAAGTAGGAGGATCAGAAGTTCAAGATCAGCTTCAACTACATATCAAGTTCAAAGTCAGCCTAGCCTACATGAAATCCTGTCTCAAAAAAAAAAAACAAAAACAAAAAAACAAAAAACTGATATCTAATCTCTAAAAATACCCCAGACTCTTTAATATGTATGGATGTTTTGTCTGCATGTATGCCTGTGCCCCTGGAAGTTAGAAGAGGAAATCAGATCCCCTGGAACGAGATGTTTGTAAACCTCCTGTGGGTGCTCATCTTTTCTATCCCCTTTACTGACTTTACATATCGGAATACTTAGAGGCACTTCAAATATATTACAAAAGAAATATAATTGACTCACATGGTATTCTTTCTCCCTGTAAGCCTGTTATTAAGGCTTCTGTTGATTTGTTTTTCTAAGAATAGTTTACTGAGAACACCACAAGGGAGCAACAGATTGCAAAGCAATTACAGTATTGCCTACATCCTGTTAAGGTGTTTTGTTTGCTCTGCAATGTTGAGAATAGAACAGAGGGCAATTCATACTAAGCACAAGCTCTAACCCCCTAGCCCAGAGTTTACATTTAAAAAGCTGCATTACTCTATATAAGAACTTCCTGGTTTGAGGCTAGAGAGATGGCTCAATGGTAATGAGCACTTGTTCTTGCCTAGAACCCAGGGTTTGGCTCCCAGCACCCACCCACTTCGTAGTTCACAACCATCCATAACTCCAGTTTCAAGTATCCAATCCCCTCAACCTAACCTCTGCAGGCACCAGACACACACATGGAGGTGTACACACACACACACACACACACACACACACACACGTACGTAGGTAAAACACTCAAAATAAAATAAACAGCTGTGTGGTGGTGGCGCAAGCCTTTAATCCTAGCACTCTGGAGGCGGAAGAAGGTGGATCTCTGGTTTCAAAGCTAGCCTAGTCCACAGAGCAAGTTCCAGGAAAGCCAGGGCTACACAGAGAAACTCTGTCTCAAGACCACCCCCACACCCCACCCCTAAAAGAGATAAAATAAATAAATCTTAAAAAAAAAAAAAGAACTAAAAACTCTCTGGTTCTCTTTATTTGTTTTGTACAACTACAAAGGTATTACTGACTGGATTTCTTCTTTTTTCAGATTCATTTATGTGCATAAATGCATGCCCCTCCCTCCCTCCCTCTCTCTCTCTCTGTGTGTGTGTGTGTCTCTGTGTGTGTGTGTGTGTGTGTGTGTGTGTGTG